ATATATATATATATAATATTTTTGTGTATATAATATTTTCAGTGTAATAGAAACAACAGATATGTGTAATTGAAAAAACGACGATATTTGCACGGATTAATGGCATTAGATTACAATCCCCCCGAGCCTGATAATTTCATTGTATTAGCGCATATACACATGCCCTATGATGTTCGGTAATCAAATTCATCCGTTACACTGGAATCGATCCGAAGGATAGATACTTGACCGAGTCTCCCTCGGGACGGTGGACAGAATATATCCGTCAGTATCGCGCAGCAGTGGTGAAACTGGACGAGCCGGGGGGAGGATCATCCCGATTCCCTTTCGCGTGTTTGGAGATCCGGTCCCCTTCGGTGGAGTCAACATTTAATGGTAACGAAAATAGCTTAAACTACGCTACGGCGAAATTTATGAGCAGCGCAGAACGGAGTAACAAGGGGGAGTGGGTGTGATTTCATTTCATGGCGCGTTATGTGCTAAGAGGGTTGGACTAAAATTCCCTTTTTGTAACTTGCCGATTTTTTTAAAGAATTTCATGAATGCGTATCCTATATACGTACACATACATATACGTATTCTATATTAATTTTTCGGACATCAATGTTTCTCAGGTATACATATACAGGGTGGGCCATCTAGCGTTTGGAATTTCAACTACCGGTTATTTTGAGTTTGAAAGGCGTAATAACATTTATGATGTATCAGAAATTTAGTTTTTTGTTTGACATTTACGAAATGGGTCGCTATACGCTTGAACAAAATTGGGAAATATTGAAAACTTATTTCCAAAGTGGTGAGTCTTCAACCCAAACTGTAAGAAATTTACGTGGAAAATTTGGTAGAAAAGAAATGCCTTCAACGCAGTTTGTGGATCAATTTGTGAAGCGAATTCGGCAAACTGGATCCTTATTGGATAAAGGAACTCGTTCACATGCTCGTCCAGTAAGGTCAACCGAAAACATTGCTGCTGTTGCTCAGAGTGTACTTGAACAACATTAAATCGCCATCGTTTTCAAAACTTGAACATTTCATGCACTTCTTTGAGAAGAATTTTGAATAAAGACCTCGGTAAATGGCAATGTACTACCTTTCCAATGAAGCCATAAACTTTGAAAAATATTCATGCCTTTTTTTTTAGAGCCAAATTGAATTCCAAATTTTAAATGGCCCATCCTGTACTATGTAATTTTTTAATCTTTAACATATATAATATGTAATTTTTTAAAATTTTTTATTGAGTTATATCTTATTTTCTTTCTTCTGTTATTGCCTTTGAAAAAAAAAGAGAACTCATAATAGTTTTATTTATTTATAACAAAATATTCCAAACTTCCTCGGTAAGACATGAATTTCTGATGTAAAATTATACTGATGTAAACTAATTAAAATTTATGTAACTTGATATCGATTACTATGTTATGTCGACTTTATAGTTGCAATTTGTTTCTATCTACTCTTTGTTATTGATTAAAGTAACTTTTTTAGGGGAATATCTTAATGAAAGCTGTACATTGCATTCATAGCCTCATATCACTTAGACTTGTCTGTACACCGAGGTAAGATCGATATTATATGGGACATTCTGCATCAACTACATCTGTCACTTGCGACATGTTACTAGGTTCGATCTACGTTCAAAGAATATCGCAGTTATAAGTTGTACATAACTTATAACATGCCTTTGAAGCCATTTCAATATGAAGATATTTTTCAAATCTATGTTTAAACAAAATTTGCAGTTTCGCTAATATACGAAATATCATCCAATATATGAAATGTTGGCATTACTAAACGTTATCTCATTATTATCTCAATGATTTTGCGTGTAAAACGAATCAATATAATTTAAACTATTACTAACCTTTTCTTTCTTCTATTAGTTTTTATTTCTTCTATAAGTAATAATATTAATTAATAATTACTGATTTTCTCTATGTGTGTGAAGATTCGTGTGCTTCGTGTAACTTGTTATTTGACTTACTGCGTGAATCGTTAATCGTATAAACAAACTACTTTTCAAATATAAACAAATTGAATGAGTTTGCTGAATTCTACAATATGTACTGCATATAATTTATTATTATGAACATAAAAATTGTTAATTTAACATGCAGAACAATTTTAAATATCCTTTTTAAAATATTGAATGTTTAACAATATTTATGTAGAAATCTTCATAGCTACAGTCTCTATAATCTCTTAAAAGAAAGCATTACGTTGAAATACAAACAAATTTCAGTATTTATCGAATAATTAATTAGCGATAGAATACGTATCTAACGATCTATATGATCACAATTAATAAATAAAATTATTATTTTTATGTTGTATATCCACAGAAAATAATTAGACAAATTTTTCAAAATTTTATTTTTTTGACATGTTACAATTTTCTCAGAAATTGTTTTATGTTGCAATATAAATTTCTCAAAATACGACACGACAAAAATAATTTCAAATGACTTGGGTTTGAATATTTACATATACATTCTGAAATTATGATTAACGTTGTTACATAAGATATATATTCTACTATTTAATCATATATTTTATACATGAAGTAACGGTATTTCTTTAAAAGTTTTATTATTCTCTTCATCAACTCTTTATTATCCGTAATCCGCCAAGCCTACTACCCCCTGTCCAGATTAATCCGTAAGAGTTATCAAAATATCGTTAGCTTGGACGGCGGGTAAAACTAAAAGTGATTCACTGCCCACTTATTTCATTACGACCTGTAATGTCCGCATTGCCCGATCAATGTTTCATGCGGAAACCACTGGCGTGTTCTAGCGCTTCGATTATTTATGAACTCCTCGTGTCTTCGTCGAGTACGGCGTACCTACGACTGTCTCTAGGTTGCTGAACTGCCGTCACTCTTTTTAATTCCGAAATTTCCCTCTCGCTATCTTATCATTTGTTGTATTCTCTATAACGAAATGCGAAGCTGCATCTCGCCAGAGTTGACAATCAAAATATACTATTAAAGAGGAAAATACAAAATGAAAAATTTAGAATATATGTCTTGTTTGTCACACAGATATGTATACATAAATTATTTGAATTGTAAAACAAAATAAAGAAAACGAAAATTTTTAATGGAAGCAGTTGTTAATTAAATATTTTCTCTACGCATTTTGTCTAATTTATCAAATTATTTTTCCTGTTTAATTTTTTTCATAAATTGAGCTTCACGCGATGATGAAAAACTTGCTGAAAACTGGAATGTAATTTCTAAAGAATGAAGAAAAGCGTCACGTTTACGAATAAAATTACTTGCTGTGAGCAAGTACAATTAAAATAATTATTTGTTCTTAGAAGCATTAGAGTGAGACGTAATACTTTTCCGTAGGAAGTTGTATCCATAATGACAACGTTTTTCACGCGGACATGTTGCTTAATCGAAGCATTAGCAGAGCAATAAATTACGATTCGCGACTAAGGGGCAAAGCGCGATGGACCCTCCTTTAACGTAACACTTAAACACTCGATCTTCATACGTGCACACATACATGTGTATACACACGTCTGCAATAGTCGAAATTACCAAAGTTGGGAAGAAGATTCTAAAGTTTCTCTCACACTTACTGCTTTTTTTATTTGTATAACGAATCAGATTTTTTTCATATTCACATACCGTCATCTGAATTAATCAAACTTAGTTTAAATGCCGAGTCTATCTTTATTTAACATGCATGCCTTAATTAACGAACTAAATATTATCATATACTATTATAGTGCTGATTATCGCAAGCATAAAAAAATTAATCTTTCTCCTCGCTGTCATTTTTTTCTCTTGTATAATATCTACTTAATGTGTTTAAAAAGATTTATAAAATTACGCGCATTGTTAACATAATATAAAACATTTGTATGTTGTGGACGAAGCTTAATAGTGCCAGCAAGAATACAGATTGCTCTTATTAGCTATATAGTTAACACTTCCTACTGTTGTTTAGCAAAGTTTCTTCCCCTTTGCGCGATTCTCTGCGAACGTCGTCGCGGTTAATAGAGTCATTTTTCGATGCGGCCGACCCTTGCGGTCGAGATACGTCTTCTAGAAGTAAGGTATTATGAGGATTAGGCAATTACAATTGAATTATCAGACCCTGCAAGCCCTCCGCATAATTTATTTCATCGTCCGACGGTGGGTCTGATTAAGTGGCTAACATATAACTGATAACAAGACTATATAATCATAGCGCAGAATCAAAGAGTGGTTTGAAATTAGAATTTAGAAAGACGATCCGAAAAAAGACATTATAAAATAAGTAATGTTTCTTAATTTTTCATCATGTTTTCTCGAGAATGTTAATAATGCTCGTTTGGCTGATTATTTTCAAGATATTTATTAGAACATTAATAATATTTTTTTAAATATTATTCTAAAAAATCAATTATTTTAAAAAAAACGTAAAATTATCGCATACAAATTACAGCATATATAAGTAGAGTACGTCTTTTTTTTCCTGAGGAATCCATGATGTAAAGGCATTAGCAAAATAAGTCGATTATATATAATTGCGGACATTCTGTATAATTCAGATACGCGTAATCGTTTCTCTATCAAGGCATTGTTCCTTGGAAAATCGTATTTTAACATAACAGAAAACCAATTCTCTTAATCCATTTTATCCGGGAATGCAAAATTAGATGTGCCCTGGACACATCAATATGGTATATAAACCTTCGAACGTGTGCACAAAATCAATTAGCGATTAAAGCTCAGTCGTGTCTGAGCCAAGTGGTTAGTCAGAGAACTGTCCGCGAGATTCGATCGATAAATGCCGCCAAGTAGCGCATCCGTCGCGTCAATAAGATACGAATAGAACGGCGCATCAATACTAATTGTAAGAGGAGCGCATTAGTAGCCTGGCGAGTGAAAAAAATAAAATAAAATCTCATCACGCGGCGTGCGATTCAATTACGTATCATCCGTATACGAAATTGATTAGCGATCAACTCGCGGTTACTACGAGTCCGAATGCGGAGTGCGGAGAGCGCGCCACGGACTCGTCGGCTATCGGATATCGCAAATTGGGACAATTACGTTATTTCCGTCCGATAACCTACATCACGGAGTAGTCTGACGCATGAATAAGTAAATTCTTCCAGAAAATCTGACGTCTGACACGAAAACGGGGAGACTGTTCAAATTATCACTTGCATGGCGGAGTACCTACTGTCTAGAGTAAAGAACATTATTCGTGGGCTTCTCGCGCTGTGGGTCCATCAAATTCAGTTTCATTCGTAGCGCAGACGCGACTCGACCCCGCGGCCGCCGTCGCCTCCACCGCCTTCTCCACTGCCTCCGCCACCGCCGCCGCCGCCGCCGCCACCATCACCACCGTCGTCGCACCACACCGCACCGCGCCGGAGCGGGTATCATCGATTTATAATAGCGCTGTTACACTCCGCTCCCTTAACGACGTTAATATTAAACGTTGCTATTGTTGCTAATACTATCATATTAACGTCTTTTTATGTCCATGGTACGCCGGTGACGCTGTGACTTGCGGCTACATCTCGTCTCTGGTATTATTGTTGTTAAATCTGCGTTATCGATTTCCATTTCCGCTGTGTTCAATCATTCCGTTGTGGTCTCATCGTATTATCGTCACGTATTGTTTTGCTCTATTATATATTATTATTACGTATATATGTTTAACGCGTGCACTCCGCGTGTCATCTTTATCGATAATGTTCCTTACAAATTTATGCGATACTGATATAATACCTCTTCCGTAAATCGTTATCTCCCCGTTATTATACCAATGTATGAAAAAATTCAATACATTGATGTACGAATAATTTCGCGCAGTCATCGCGAGAAGAATGTACGAACGGCAACGAAAAACACCGGATCGCATTGACTCCTGTCGTAGCACCGCGAGTATCTGTTGCATCCGTGGTGAGCATAAGTGACACATAGCTCTTTTTACGGTACTCGACTATCGCCTCATCGTATATCTAAATAATCAATTTACTACTGGCCATAATCGTAACCACGAGTTAGCAAGTTTATGCGATCCTGGCTACCGTAACTACGTGGCTCCGTAAAGCATAAATATTATGAGGCATTTCGTATACAGTAACAGTCTCATAATCTCTTTCTCTTCCCCTTTTTCTCTCTCTCTCTCTCTTTTTCTGCCCGTCTCTCCTTCTTTTTCTTCTTTCCCTTTTCTCTCTTTCCTTTTCTCCACTTATAATTCTGAGAGAATGAGATCTAATTGAATTTCCACTCTAATGAAAAGTTTTCAAATTTCGTCATTAGAAAGAATCGTCATATATGACAATAAGTATTTTTTATATACTTATATGTGTATCACATAAATATATATAATTTGAAACAGAGTATATATTTATCAGAAGCAGAATATATATTTATTAGAAACATCATAAAGACGCTTATTTAATGTCATTTTTTGAAATATTCAGCTCATAAAACGGAAAATAATTATATTGATAAATCAAGTTAAATATATGTATATTTTATATATCTGTACATTTGATAAATCTCGCGTAAACTTGTCCATTTATTAACTTTATAATGTTGCAATATTACGACGCAACGTAATTGTCGTACATATTATATGAATATAATTATTAGAAGACGACACGTGATGTGTATAACTACATTGTCTCGTCTGCAGACGTCTCAAATAATCGGGTTGTTCTATTAAAATGATATCACGGCGACGTCGTTCCGTAAAGATGTAATTAATCCGTCTAGGCGCTTTATTACTATCTTCTAAATAAGTTTATGATTAATAAAACAGTTGACTTTTCTCATAAATTATATCGTGTTTTAATAATATTATAATATTTATTTCAACATCACGCGACACAAAGTCAAATTAATCGAATCAATCCCTCTTTAATTTGAAAAACGTGCACAGAGGAAAAAAATAAAAAAGAAAAAAAATATAATTCAGTACTCACATTATGCCTTGGTGACCAAGAATTGCACACAATGGATGCGTCTTCGAATATACGACTCTGCAAAATGAAAAAATGCCATTTCTCATCAGAGTCAAGATTTTCTTATAGTACAGCATTAAACCAATTTTATCTAGATAGTGTTAAATTTTTCTTTCGTAGAAATATATTTTTCTTTCGTAGAAATGGCAGCACATGAAATGAAAATCTAAATTAAAAAACAGAAAAGACGAGATGTCAAATATCAATTTGCAAATATATTTAAACGGATAAACAATTGTTTATTATGTTTTATATTATGCAGAAAAGAAATTGTAGTGTTTTATGCTGACTAGACGAATACTTTAATAATAATAAATTTAATATTGCTATGAGACAATAGTATTTTTCAAAATTAATCCATACTTAATCGTCAATTACATTTTTATTTTTGAAAATGTGTGACGTAAATGTGATAAATATTCGTTCTTATTGTTAGACTTGGTCTGATTTCGTTCTAAACTTTTAGTGCTTCCTTTCTTGTATTGTAACAAAATTAATAATCCGATGTAATATATATCATTGACTATCTATGATATCAATTTCACATTGAGATAACGTGCGATAGAATACAATAGACGTAAAATTAACATTATTGTATCGCGAAAATATATATTTTGTTAGCGCAGATCCATATGTTCGACAAGGGATATGTCATGAGGCCGTTTTAGAGTCCCACGTAGACCACGTAATAAATTTCAATACGCGGCTAATGACCGTAGCCGAGAAGTATTTTCATCCGAATGGAAATCGAACGTGTTACGCGATTTACCTGTCAACGGCACTTAATATTTATCTCGTCTGCATATTTTATTTTTGCTGATCGCGTCGCAGGACACGCACGCGTGCGCGCGATCGTGTGTCGCGCGCAATTGTCCGCTTATATCTATACAGATACACACACACACACACACACACACACACACACACACACACACACACACACATACACACACACACACAAACACATACACATACACACACACACACACACACACACACACGTACCGACACACGTACATGATATACATACGTATGCATTTATATTATATTTAAAGCGAAGCCAAAAGATTGACAGAATCGGGGCATACCGGCGTCGCGACGCCGTCGCAAATTAAATGAGTCATTTTAGGATTCGCGCAGAACTAGGTAATTCAATATCGTCCTTATTAAAGCGTCGGCCAATTCTGAACTCGCGCGTTTCTTGATGACAATGATTATGTCATTACGGGCACCGAGACTAATATGAATACATCACTCTTCCGAAGCGACGTATTTTATTAACGTGTCACACGTTCCAACGCGTCTGTGGTGATACTTGGAATCGACGTGTACGCACAATATATCATCGGGCTTCGATTGCAGATATACGTGCCACTCAGGATGCATTTGACATGATTTTTCAATCATTTGTCATCTTTCTCCCGATGGATATCGGTGCCATTTTTACGCCCGACTGTCAAATATTCATCGAGACAAACAACCGTAAAAAAATTGAATAGATCGAATCTTATTTTTCCATTGATTTCAGAATTTTAGATGACGTTTAATGATACTTGATTCAAAACTTATCGCGATATTTTCGGTTGAAGAAATATGAACTTGAAGAATTATGAAAAACATAGTGTCTTTTGTTCTGGCGAATATCAACGTCATATTTTTGTACTCATTGATGACATTATCTCGCCATGTTGTCCATCTGATGGCTTGGACATGATATCGTATGATTCGATGTTGTTCGTTTGACATTTTCAATAATTCATCTCGATAATCAGAAATCTGATTGACATCTTGAGTATGATTACTGTCATCAACAGGATATAGTTTAGCTTCGATATTTCTCAATACAACAGATAAGTGAATAGAAGTATCCCAAGTTTCCTTATGAATAAAAGAGATTAAAATAAATTTAAAGAAAAAAAAACAATGCATGCCTCGATGATTCTCTTCTTTCTCAAATTTCATCGATAAAAGAATTACTTAAAAATTACCTAGATTTATCAGATGACTGGCACTACAGTCATAGATAGAATGCTACTTAGTCAAATTCTTTGAACATGGATAATACGCTTACGCAACAATATGCTGTGGCGCATTAAGCATCATGCAGTATAACGTACGTCTCTTAAATTCCATGTACGATCGTATATACGCGAGTGTGAATATATACGCATGTGTGCATTTGTACAGTGCGCGATGGTACTGGATAGAAATGTACGTTCGGCTGTATATCGAGATACACATGTGTGTATCATGTGTGTATTGCAGCGCGTAGCGCGAGAGCTTCGCGGTGCATCAGCCGCACAAAAGCCTCGTTGCATCGGCACGTTGTGTGCGTAGCGGCTCTGTACACGCGTGTGTACGAGAGTGCGTATATACATATGTATATGCGCGGAAGCGCCTGTGCTACGACGCGAAACACATTGCGGACTCGCACGAGTAAACAGACGCAGTCGAATCAGTTTGCCCGGCTAATTGATTTTCCTTCACATGGCCGATGCCGCGCGCGCGCTTCGTGCGCTCGTAGCGGCGCCGCGCCGCGCCGCGCCGCTCCTCGCCTCACCTCGCCTTGCCTCGCCAAACCTCGCCTCACTTCACCTCACCTCACCTCACCACACCTCACCTCACCTCACCTCACCTCACCTCACCTCACCTCATCTCGCCTCACCTCACCTCGCCTCGCCTCGCCTCACCCTGCCTGCTGCATATAGAGAGACAGTGCAACGCGCCGTACAAATCCAATCCGAAACTCTCGTTTGATTATCAAGCGAATTCCCACGGCCGATTGTAAATCAACTGCTGTACCGTGCCGGAGGATCATACTGATGTTTTAGATTGGACGGTATGGCGCGGTGTACGAATATCGAAAATTTGACCTTTTTCGCGGGGAGATACGCATGGCGAAAAATTTGATTGAACATTGTCGTGGGGCGCAGCGATGCGAAACGTAAAATGCCAAACGACGTTTCTGACAGAGAAAGATTTGTTTAAAATTCGATGCAGTTTGCTGTGTGATGTATTCGTAAAAAAAATAAGGAAAATCTTTTAAAATCGTTTTAAATATTGTCTATTAGTATCAATAATCATAAGGAATATAACGATTACGATGTTTTTGAACTTTAAATAAGAAACACGATTTCTACCTCATCAAAAGAATGTCTGTATAATAATTTATAAATTTTGTTTAATATTACACGTTAAAAACAGCGTAATTAATATTATTAGAGGACTGTTAGACAAATTAATAACTGTTTAAATTCTAATATAAGTGAGCAATGTTATCGACTGTAGAAGAAAAATATTAGACTAAAATACATTATTTTTCACGTCTTTCCTGAAATAGAGCAAATTTTTAGACACCCTAGAAAGTTATTTTAAAATGTATCAAAACTAAGCAAGGTAGGATTGAATTATTATAATTGGTTATATTAAGAATTTAAGATTTTATCGGTAAGGAAAAATTTTTTAAATGCAAAGTTTTTATATAATATAATAATTTTAACATCCCCGTAGAAATTTGTAGTTATATTCAAGCAAAAGCGTTAAGGAAGCGAGAGATATAAGTTGGCTGTTTAGAATGCTACAAATGAATTCACTGAATAATGCAGAATGGTAGACGGTAACTGTACAAGGGCAAGTGTCTCCGATTATAACAAAAGTGAGGGGCTCGCAGCCCGGCTCATTTGTTATTAACCGGCACGAAGGAGCGTTGAAGTGCAGAAAGACTTCGAACACGACTTCACACTTTGACTCCCGTGGCCCTTGGTAACTTTAGATAATTACCGGTGAAACTTCTGCGAAGAATCTTACGTACTTTCTCGTAATATTCTCGGAGTACGTTCTTTCACGATTCATCGTCATCGATAACATTGCGTTGAGCAAATTGAGGCAAAGTGAATTTTTTTTAAACATAATACATAAAAACAAATTTATTTTTTTTAATTAATAATAGAGAGAATATTCTGCATCTTGTAAAATAATCTCTCATTTTTACTTGAGATATATTTTTATGGCATTTTGAAATATTTATCTGATAAACAGTTTCGAAAAAGATAAATCGTCTTTAATTAATATGTGAATCGTTATTTTTGAATTACGATTTTTTAAATCTAAATGCAAACTTTATTCAATAACGATAATTTATTCACACGTTAATTTTTTGTCTAAAAGATTCTCTGTAAGTAATAGTTAATTATATAAGTAATAGTTAATTATATATTTCTGTGTATGTGTGTGTGTGTGTGTGTGTGTGTGTGTGTGTGTGTGTGGGTGTGTGTGTGTGTGTGTGTGTTACTTGCAATTATTTTTTCGGGATCAATCGATAACATGAAGATATAAAGTACAATTGGATCGAAGAAAAGAGAAACTGATCATTACTGGTGTCGTCGTTGTGCAAAATATGGAACAGATAGCTAGCTATGTAGGTAGATTTAGCCTGACGCGGCTCATTATGATTTCAAGCGAAAAACACGAGTCTTGAAGCGCGAATCGTCTAAGAGATCGCTAAAGGGAATTTATGAAATTTCCTAATTTAATATTCTCTCTCTCTCTCTCTCTCTCTCTCTCTCTCTCTCTCTTCTCTTTTTCTCTCTCTTCGCTTCTCTTTCTCTTTGGTTCACAGCCGCCCCATCGTAGTTTCTCCGTTAACTCTTTCCGTGGTGATTTTTTACTCTCAATGCAAAACTTGATTAAGCGACTGAGAAACGACATTTCGCTACAGTCGCGCTAACGAAAGGCAGAATAAATTAATGCGATTCTGACAAAATTCGGACAGCGCTCTTGTGCGATCAGACGTCGCGCTTTTGCGCCGTTTCTAATATTATTTTGCTCGATTTTGCGTCTCGACGTTTAATAAAAGTGTAATGCTTCGAAATCTCTTTGAAATTCACATGCGATTTCAAGTGCCAATAAGATAACGCTTACTTTATGCACATAATATTACATCCTTTAAGCCGTTCTTTAATTCAAACTATCTCCAATTTCATTCTCGTTTTAATGTTGAACCATTTAAAATTCACTAC